AAAAAAAAAAAAAAAAAAAAAAAAACTATACGGTCTATACCTTTACAGCAAAAACCGACAATGAAAGGGGTATTGTTGCCTTTAGAGAACTTGAAAAAAGGGTATATCTGCAATGAATTTAGGGGTTTGTTGCGATCAAATAATGTATTTCTGCCATGAAAGCTCGTTGTGAAGGTATATTTTGCTGAGATAGATTAAAAAACAGGCATTTCTGGAATTTACCTAGGGTACATGGATCTTCCAGCCCAGCACAGCGGCCAGATTGCCCAGGGGTCAGACAAAAACCAGCACTTCCTTTTTTCTTTTTTGGGGTAAGTACATTCATGTCACCTTCGAGTATCAAATGGCCAAAAAAAACACGCCTCCCCAATGAAAACCACGCCGAGTTCGAAAAGGCAACGGAAGTACCGACTGCCGTGGTGTCAGACCGGGTGTCATATTTCCTGGGGTCGGCCATGGTGTCAGAGGGGAAAAAAAAAAAAAAAAGCCCAACAAATACTCTTGGACAGAAATCGCTCATTTCAAGTTGGCGTGTGGTTTCTCTGCTGGCGCAAGTTTTTTTTGCCTTTAGAGTTTCAAAACATTATTATTTTTTTTTTTTGGTGGGGCACCTTTGTGCCCACTGGGATTTGTCCAAATCTGGGCTGATTTTCGTTTATAAAAAGCTTTCAGGTTTCGCCTAAACCAGGCTCAGACAAACCCAGGACAAATTAAGAACACACTCAAAACAGACTCAAAACAGACTCAAAACAGACTCAAACACACTCAAAACAGGTAGAAAACAGAAGCAGTCAGACTCAAATGGACCTGTAGACTAAAAAAGAATCAAAAGAGACTCAAATAGACAAAGGCAGACTCAAAACAGGTACAAACAGACTCAAATAGTTCTGTGACAGACTCAAACAGACTCGAAAGTGACTCAGAACAGAGTTAGACAGACTCAAATGAAGCTATTAGACTCAAAACAGACTCAAAACAGATCCGAAACAGGCTGAAACAGAATAAACCAGACTTAAAAGAGAACCAGAGGGACAAAAACTGAGGTACTGACTCAAGCAGGCTGCAAACAGACTCGAACAGACTCACGAGTCAAAACAGAATTATTCGGAACGCAATATCAAGAATCACACATTGTCACTTCACAAACAGCCTCCCCAAATGACAAAAATAGGGGGAGATTTTTTTGGGAACCCCTTTGCAGCTCTGGGAGCTGTCGCCAGTGGACCAGGCTGGGCACTGTGTCTAAAATGGCCCATGGCCAAAGGAGCAACATCTGCCGGGTCCTTCAGGACATCCGTTAAAATTGGAACGATACAGACACAGAAGATTAATTAGCATGGCCCCTGCGCAAGGATGACACGCATAAATCGAGAAATGGTCCAAAATCTACTGGGCACCCGCTCCGGGCATCTGCACGGCCGGGCCGCAGGGCGGCCCTTCCACGCAGATCAGGCAGATTTGGCCAGCCCGTGCGCCCAGCCAAACTGCCTACAAATTTACCCTTTTAGACAACTGTCTTTTTTTCCTGTTACGCTTTTGTTCCCTCCTCGCCTTCCCCCCCTTCTCCTCCACCTCCCTATCGTTATCAGCATTTTGTGATTTTGCATTGAGTATCCCGCACTGGCAACGAAAAACCGTTCCATAATTCCTTGACTGCCCTTTCGAGGGATCCATTACAAATCGAACGAGATGAGAACATTCGAATGAATCCCCTGTACGCACACATCATATTTTCACAATAACACTAACTCACAAACGGATTGAGAAAAAACTTCAATTTCATATTACCGCCTTCTACGTAAAGAATTTAATTTGCTCTTGTTCAATACGCCACTGGGAGTCTCTACAGTGCCCTGATCTCCGAGCAGAAAATTTTCAGGGTTCCAGCTGAGATGATAAGCATCAGTTGAGAGCTCATGTACACCTTCAGGCATAGTCACAGTGCGTCAAACCTGGATGTATGTGGCCGTTATTTACTGCAAAACCCAGTTTAACAAGTCCCGACATGAATATGCCCATAGTGGAGAGCAGAGGCAGAGAAAGACAAGCTTGTTAGTGAGAAGGGATAAAAAGGAAAAGAAGAAAGAAAGAAGTTGAGCGGCGACGGCCATTGTGCTGTGTGCTGTGGGAGTTCAAAAAAAAAAGTCCCAATCTGTATTTCAACAGATGGTGGGGGTACCAACGAACTGCTCCGGACAATGCCGCAGATTTTCAAAAAAAAAATTAAAAGAAAAAAGGAAGAGGGCATACTCACCTTAGACCCCCTCAAAAGCTCAAAATCACAAAATGAGCGGCCAGATGGAGTCCTCAATTCGCAAGGACTCAATCTGGCCGCTCTTTTTTTTTTTTTTTTTTTTTTT